GGCCAGATAACTCAGTCTTGGGAAGTTAGCTTCATGTAGCTTCCACCACTGCATGTCTCTGTCGCAGGTGCTGGAATAAGTTGGTTGTGTTCCCATGTTTTGCAGCGATCGTCTTTCTACAGACCTTACACAGAACAGTTGTTTGTTCTATGTCTGACTGCTTGTACCCGAACCACTTCCATACAACTGAACTTACTGAAGTGGTACCTTTTTTAGGAATGAGTTCTTCTTCATCTGTGTTCGTGGACATTTTTATGCTACGTCTGTCGTAGTGATGTGTCGGTCGCGAACTATTTAAGTGAACGACGGGAGCCGGCTCTCGCCCGCGAACGAGCCGTTTTTTTTTGCGGAGGGATCGGCATGAAGGCACATTATGCAATGTGCAATGTGCACATTATCCCGCTTATTACATGGCCAAATTCTCAGCAAAGTAACGACATGACTCCCAATATTAATTGAAATGCTTTTATGGATTTAGAAAATGATTTTATTGATTTAAAAAATAGTTTTGTATTGATTTAAATTGACATGCATCCGCTAAGAAAAATAGTGCGTTGTTACTGTTTGAACTAATGTAGCAACGGCAGGAACTTGATTACAGATCCAAAAAAAAATCGCGGTTTTTCGGTTTAGCCATTTCACAAACCGTAGGAAAGTAAAAATGCGATTAATCGTGAAAACCGAAAAAATCGCCCAGCCCTACTGTGCTGTAGTTCCTTTATAGCCCAACATTAGCCTCCTTTAGCTTAGCGGTGGTGACGTGAAGTCATGTGACCGTGCAATAGTTCCTTTATAGCCCAACATTAGCCTCCTTTAGCTTAGCGGTGGTGACGTGAAGTCATGTGACCGTGCTATAGTTCCTTTATAGCCCAACATTAGCCTCCTTTAGCTTAGCGGTGGTGACGTGAAGTCATGTGACCGTGCTGTAGTTCCTTTATAGCCCAGCATTAGCCTCCTTTAGCTTAGCGGTGGTGACGTGAAGTCATGTGACCGTGCTATAGTTCCTTTATAGCCCAACATTAGCCGCCTTTAGCTTAGCGGTGGTGACGTGAAGTCATGTGACTGTGCTGTAGTTCCTTTATAGCCCAACATTAGCCTCCTTTAGCTTAGCGGTGGTGACGTGAAGTCATGTGACTGTGCTGTAGTTCTTTTAGAGCACCTTCGGGGGAGAGCATTGCAAAACTGGCCCCGGTAATGGTACAAATCTCAACCTGTCGTTCAATGGACAGCTTCCCCCCCCCCATCTATGTATATACTCGCATTTTAGACTCTGTTACTAACTGTATATCTGTAGACTTGGTATGTCTTAATTGTCCGGTTAGGATGTATTAGAACGAAATCTAAAATGAAAATTGTAAATAAGCAATCTGTATGTAAAAAACCACCTGTATGTAAATTGTAAATAAGCCATCTGTATGTCAAATATGTCTTATATGTCTTAAATGACATGATGAATTGGAAATGGGGGACCCTGATGTAAACAAGACGAAAGTCTTTCTCTGGTCTGCATCCCCTTAACAATTGTATGTTTTGAGCTGTACTGTACCCAATATACAAGCTGTTAATAAACTTTTCAATCAATCAATCAATCAATAGCCCAACATTAGCCTCCTTTAGCTTAGCGGTGGTGACGTGAAGTCATGTGACCGTGCTGTAGTTCCTTTATAGTCCAACATTAGCTCTTTACTTCAGAAAACTGGTATTAATATGTGGAGATTATCCTGCTGAACTAAACGTGTAAGAATCATAAATGTTTGTTTGACACAGAGATTATTTTTTGCTATAATCCAAAACCAATCCAACTCAGAAACACCACATCCCTGCAACACTCTTTTCGACTGTAGTCCTTACCAACAGGTCCGGTGACTCCAGTATCTCCCATCATGCCTTTCTGTCCCGGTGGGCCTGGTGGTTTGTCTTCACCCTGTCAATTAAACAACCGTGTAAAAATAAAAAGACGGTGTTTTGAGGAAATCCAATCAAACACACAATTCCTTCAGTTTCCTGATAGAATATGAAAGAATATATACTTTTGATTTGAGATTCCAGTGTAAGAATCAAATCTGAGACGAACTGGACACACATGTATCTTCCTTCTGTATCTTTTCAGATGTATAACTATGGGATGTACTGACCGGCGGGCCCCGGGGTCCAGTGTCTCCATGGTTACCAGGTGGTCCTTGGTCTCCTGAAGCTCCTTTAAATCCCTCGTCTCCTTTAAAGCCAGGACCCGGAGGACCAGGAGGACCTCGGTAACCTGTCGGACCTGCAGAGGAACGTTTCCACACATCATTACACTCACTAAATATGCTAAAACAGGACCATTCTACTCATACAGGTGCAAACTTAGCGATTTACAATAAGTGCCAAACCATAGAGATGCCTTTCCTCACCTTTGGGTCCGTGTTCTCCAGGGATTCCTTTCTCTCCTTTGACTCCTTCAATGCAGACTCCCTCTTTTCCAGGACAACCAGAGGGGCCCGGTGGTCCCGGAGGACCAGAACACCCTGGGTTTCCCCCAGCACCAGGAGGGCCCGGTGGACCGCAGGCCCCCGGAGGACCCGCCCCTCCAACACACCCTGAGGAGAGGGTGGGGTTTAATCCTCGTCTTTAGTTCTGACTGAAAACTAAACTCGATTACAGATCAGGACTCACCAGGTGGACCCGTCTTCCCGTCGGGGCCCCGAGACCCGATCCCAGGAACTGGGGGACAGAAAACCAACCAATCAGAGATCCAGACCAGCACCAGACTGGGTTCTAAGCTGAAACTCTTTTCAACATGTATGGTGGATTCAGAACCATTGAGCACAGTCTCCTACCTCCCATAGCTCCTTTCTCCCCAGGAGGACCAGGTATACCGTCCTGGCCCTGGTTCCCTCTGGGACCCGCTGGACCAGGATCTCCAGGGGCCCCCTTGTTCCCTGACAATGAAGAAGATATAAGTAACCCACATTAAAGTCTTTAGATCAGTGTGTGGTTCTGCTTCCTGGCGGCACAAACACTCTGGTTTTGGTACTCTAGTTTTTTTTAGCTCTGAGCTCAGGATTAGCTGGAAAGAGTCCAGGAAGCTTATTTACAAGTTAACAGTGTTTAATAAAATAATGATACGATGATACAAGGACACTGCAAAGATGGTGGCTCTCCCCGATGGTTGCTGCTCCGTTGGTGTTGGTCAGCTGGGAAAGCAGACCGGCTTCCAGCTGGCCTCCTATTTTGTAATCTGTAGTCTTCTCCTATTGGCTTAACGTCGACGGGTCCAAGGCACGTCCTGTCGTTTTCTGATGTTAGTTTTACAATATTCTAATATCTGTTGGTCATTTAAAGATTCCCTAATAATAGTGTTGCAGCGTCAATAAGTGAGGGCTAAAGACAGTGTGTTTAGTGACACGTGTCATTTCTCCTTAAATTCACGCACACATGGGAGGCTGTGGCTCAGTGGATAGTGTGCTGGACTTCGAATCAGGGGATAGCAAGTTCGAGTCCCACTGCAGTCAGCATGTCGTTGTCCCTGAGACAGCCCACAGTACTTTGGATAAAAGCGTCTAACAAATGACATGTACACAAAACATAATATTAGCTACATGCTAATGCTAACCGGAAGTTGACAATATTTACTCGCAAAAACCGGAAGTCGGGTGTGTGAACATCCGGTTTTCAGAATAAAGCAGCTTTAAATTAGAACAGTGTATTAATTAAAATTACGCCATATACATATTGATTGTATTCCTTACAGTACCTGTGAGGCCGGTGGGTCCCAAGGGGCCGCTGGTCCCGGCAGGACCATCACAACCCTTTCCCCCAGGGTTCCCAGGAGGACCTGGAGGACAGACACATTAATGGAGGCGTTTAGTGACCTGCTCTACCTGACCCTGAAACACATTCAGAGGTTTAGAGACCTGCTCTACCTGACCCTGAAACACATTAAGACGTTTAGTGACCTGCTCTACCTGACCCTGAAACACATTAAGAGGTTCAGAGACCTGCTCTACCTGACCCTGAAACACATTAAGAGGTTTAGTGACCTGCTCTACCTGACCCTGAAACACATTAAGAGGTTTAGTGACCTGCTCTACCTGACCCTGAAACACATTAAGACGTTTAGTGACCTGCTCTACCTGACCCTGAAACACATTAAGAGGTTCAGAGACCTGCTCTACCTGACCCTGAAACACATTAAGAGGTTTAGTGACCTGCTCTACCTGACCCTGAAACACATTAAGAGGTTTAGTGACCTGCTCTACCTGACCCTGAAACACATTAAGAGGTTTAGAGACCTGCTCTACCTGACCCTGAAACACATTAAGACGTTTAGTGACCTGCTCTACCTGACCCTGAAACACATTAAGGCGTTGAGTGACCTGCTCTACCTGACCCTGAAACACATTAAGAGGTTCAGAGACCTGCTCTACCTGACCCTGAAACACATTAAGGCGTTGAGTGACCTGCTCTACCTGACCCTGAAACACATTAAGAGGTTCAGAGACCTGCTCTACCTGACCCTGAAACACATTAAGAGGTTTAGTGACCTGCTCTACCTGACCCTGAAACACATTAAGAGGTTTAGTGACCTGCTCTACCTGACCCTGAAACACATTCAGAGGTTTAGAGACCTGCTCTACCTGACCCTGAAACACATTAAGAGGTTTAGAGACCTGCTCTACCTGACCCTGAAACACATTAAGGCGTTGAGTGACCTGCTCTACCTGACCCTGAAACACATTAAGAGGTTCAGAGACCTGCTCTACCTGACCCTGAAACACATTAAGAGGTTTAGTGACCTGCTCTACCTGACCCTGAAACACATTAAGAGGTTTAGTGACCTGCTCTACCTGACCCTGAAACACATTAAGGCGTTTAGTGACCTGCTCTACCTGACCCTGAAACACATTAAGAGGTTTAGTGACCTGCTCTACCTGACCCTGAACCACATTAAGAGGTTTAGTGACCTGCTCTACCTGACCCTGAAACACATTAAGAGGTTTAGTGACCTGCTCTACCTGACCCTGAAACACATTAAGAGGTTTAGTGACCTGCTCTACCTGACCCTGAAACACATTAAGAGGTTTAGTGACCTGCTCTACCTGACCCTGAAACACATTAAGGCGTTTAGTGACCTGCTCTACCTGACCCTGAAACACATTAAGGCGTTGAGTGACCTGCTCTACCTGACCCTGAAACACATTAAGAGGTTTAGTGACCTGCTCTACCTGACCCTGAAACACATTAAGAGGTTTAGTGACCTGCTCTACCTGACCCTGAAACACATTAAGGCGTTTAGTGACCTGCTCTACCTGACCCTGAAACACATTAAGGCGTTTAGTGACCTGCTCTACTACCTGACCCTGGAAACACATTAAGACGTTTAGTGACCTGCTCTACCTGACCCTGAAACACATTAAGAGGTTTAGTGACCTGCTCTACCTGACCCTGAAACACATTAAGAGGTTTAGTGACCTGCTCTACCTGACCCTGAAACACATTAAGGCGTTTAGTGACCTGCTCTACCTGACCCTGAAACACATTAAGAGGTTTAGTGACCTGCTCTACCTGACCCTGAAACACATTAAGAGGTTTAGTGACCTGCTCTACCTGACCCTGAAACACATTAAGAGGTTTAGTGACCTGCTCTACCTGACCCTGAAACACATTAAGAGGTTTAGTGACCTGCTCTACCTGACCCTGAAACACATTAAGAGGTTTAGAGACCTGCTCTACCTGACCCTGAAACACATTAAGAGGTTTAGTGACCTGCTCTACCTGACCCTGAAACACATTAAGACGTTTAGTGACCTGCTCTACCTGACCCTGAAACACATTAAGAGGTTTAGTGACCTGCTCTACCTGACCCTGAAACACATTAAGAGGTTTAGAGACCTGCTCTACCTGACCCTGAAACACATTCAGAGGTTTAGTGACCTGCTCTACCTGACCCTGAAACACATTAAGAGGTTTAGTGACCTGCTCTACCTGACCCTGAAACACATTAAGAGGTTTAGTGACCTGCTCTACCTGACCCTGAAACACATTAAGAGGTTTAGAGACCTGCTCTACCTGACTCTGAAACACATTAAGAGGTTTAGTGACCTGCTCTACCTGACCCTGAAACACATTAAGACGTTTAGTGACCTGCTCTACCTGACCCTGAAACACATTAAGAGGTTTAGTGACCTGCTCTACCTGACCCTGAAACACATTAAGAGGTTTAGAGACCTGCTCTACCTGACCCTGAAGTTTCACAATGATCTTTACTGTGTGTGTTCTCCAATTACTCAGCAAGATATTTCACATGACATGAGGACATGAGGACATGAGGACATGAGGACATGAGGACATGAGGACATGAGGACGCTTCTCATGAGTCTGAGAAAAAGGCCTTCACAGTTTTCAGACAGTTTTGAACCATAGTTGTGATTATTTGAGCCTGAAATGGGCGCCTCCGAATATGATGATACAAACAATGATGAAGTTTGATATTCTGATAGAAGTAAAACCTCTGTACAAACTGCAGATATATGATGTATAAACTGGATAAACTGCAGATATATGATGTATAAACTGGATAAACTGCAGATATATGATGTATAAACTGGATAAACTGCAGATATATGATGTATGAACTGGATAAACTGCAGATATATGATGTATAAACTGGATAAACTGCAGATATATGATGTATGAAGTGGATAAACTGCAGATATACCTCTACATCCCGCGGGTCCAGACCCTCCTTTGGGGCCACAGGAGCCACTTTCTCCTGGAGGACCAGGCTCTCCGTTGTCCCCTGGTTGCCCATCTGGCCCCGGTGATCCTGAACACCCTGAATTTCCCTTAAAGGAGGAGACGATACTTTATTTATTGTTTTATTTCAAAATGTCTTTTAAGGTGCTCACATCAGGGTCATAAAGACATATCTTCAAGTTAATCGGAAAACGTAAAACAGAAACAAACAAGGATAAAGACCGGCGACAGGAAGCAGGAAGTCATCTGCATACAAAGATATCAGGTTAGGGGATAAAGCAACTTAACCTTGATTCATTATGAGAGATCACATTCATATTAACAATATTCTAAAAGTCAGACATCTAGTTTGACAGATGCTTCGGACAGAACTCCAGGTCTGCATTGAATAGGAAATATTTAATCTGGAGATATTACGTGTCAGTATGTCCCTGTATTTGTGTGCTACCTTTCCCCCTGGAGGTCCTTTAGATCCTGGTCCAGGTGGGCTCGCTTCTCCTTTAGCACCTTTAAGTCCTCCTGGTCCTGGTGGTCCGTCCGGTCCAGGTTCCCCACAAGAACCTGCACAACCTGTCCCCCCTTTGAGACCTGGATAGAAACAAGATGTGTAAATATGATCTTCTGAGAGTCCATGCATTAAATCATGTTATTTAATGTTACTTTTAAAAGGTATGACTCTTAAGTAGCAGAAAGAACATTTTAAAGAACTAAAAAAAAAAGATACAACCACCATATAAGCAAGGCATGACAATAGAGCCTTTGAATTTAACAGGTGGGTTTTCAGTCATGTGATGGGGTATATTTCCTACTAAAGTATAGTTTTAGAGTATTTGAGTATTGAAATGTTATGATCCACTACATCTCAGGGGCGAATGTTGTACTGTATTCTCTACTTCATCTGTACATGATTACTGAGGTAAAACCTAATGTTGGTCTATAAAGGAACTACAGCACGGTCACATGACTTCACGTCACCACCGCTAAGCTAAAGGCGGCTAATGTTGGGCTATAAAGGAACTACAGCACGGTCACATGACTTCACGTCACCACCGCTAAGCTAAAGGTGGCTAATGTTGGGCTATAAAGGAACTACAGCACGGTCACATGACTTCACGTCACCACCGCTAAGCTATAGGTGGCTAATGTTGGGCTATAAAGGAACTACAGCATGGTCACATGACTTCACGTCACCACCGCTAAGCTAAAGGTGGCTAATGTTGGGCTATAAAGGAACTACAGCACGGTCACATGACTTCACGTCACCACCGCTAAGCTAAAGGTGGCTAATGTTGGGCTATAAAGGAACTACAGCACGGGTCACATGACTTCACGTCACCACCGCTAAGCTAAAGGCGGCTAATGTTGAGCTATAAAGGAACTACAGCACGGTCACATGACTTCACGTCTCCACCGCTAAGCTAAAGGCGGCTAATGTTGGGCTATAAAGGAACTACAGCACGGTCACATGACTTCACGTCACCACCGCTAAGCTATAGGTGGCTAATGTTGGGCTATAAAGGAACTACAGCACGGTCACATGACTTCACGTCCCCACCGCTAAGCTATAGGTGGCTAATGTTGGGCTATAAAGGAACTACAGCACGGTCACATGACTTCACGTCACCACCGCTAAGCTAAAGGTGGCTAATGTTGGGCTATAAAGGAACTACAGCACGGTCACATGACTTCACGTCACCACCGCTAAGCTAAAGGTGGCTAATGTTGGGCTATAAAGGAACTTCAGCACGGTCACATGACTTCACGTCACCGCCGCTAAGCTAAAGGCGTTTGGCGTGGTGACGTTTAGTCGTCTCATTTAGACACTTGTTAACAACAACAGTTTTTGAATCCAGCAGCGGGGTATTTACTGACGTATTTTATGTGGTAGAACAAAACTTTAAAGTCTCTTCAGCTTCTGTTTACCACAGACCTCATTTCAGGAAACCATTGACCTCCAGACTAGAGGACAGGAAGGACAGGGGGACTGTACCTGGCTTCCCCATCTCTCCTTGGTGTCCGTTGTATCCAAAGGGACCGGGAGGCCCTTGCTCTCCTCCCCTGCCGGGGTCTCCAGGAGGTCCTGACAGGAACACATCCATTAAAATGTCCGTTATTATCCTAAATTCATCGGACATGCATTCCCTTTAATTTGACTGCCAAATAAAGAGCTTTTCATTTCACCTTGTGGGCCGCCAAACCCTGGTCTACCATTGCTGCCGTCGGGCCCCTGTGGCCCCTGGAGACCCCTTTCTCCTTTGGTACCAGTGAGACCAGTGGGCCCTGAGGGTGAGACAGGAAGCAGAAAGACAAGTGTGAGACAGGTAGAACACCTGGATGGGGCTGCAGTCATTTAGTAAAAATGATGCCTTTTTAAAACCACTTCTCCCTGACCTGGGAAGGGAGGATCCTCAGGACTTAGACCAGTGGTTCTCAAACTGTTTTCAATAATGTGCCCCCTAAACAATTTGGTCGGGAAGAAAAGCCTATATAAGGAGGGAGAGTACAGCGCTGCACCATCAGTGTCTGAGTTATTAAAACCTTGTAAATGAGAAACACCAATTTTAACATCATGCAATAAAACTAAGACGACATTAGTTGCATTGAACTGATCCTTTTAATAAGTTGTTCTTACATTTGAGTGAGAAACATGGGCGTGTGCGTCACTGAGGATGATGAGGCAAACTGCAGTTATGTGTAACAGTCCATATAAAAGCCACACTGCTCAAACTTCGTGACTTTCCTAAAATGTGTATATTTATCATCGAGTACATTTGTTTTTCTAGTCACTAGACGACATATTGTGTTTGTGTCAAACTCTAGGCTTCAAAGCAGTCGACCACAGACCACGGGTCTCAGTGTTGTTCTTTGCATCCAGGTTCCTGACTAACTAGTACTACGGTTCTCATGTAGAACCAACAGGAATAGATTACCAGAGTCTCCCAGGTCTCCAGGATCCCCGTACATCTCCACATCGGTCTGGAGTCCTTTAGGTCCAGCATATCCTCGGTCCCCCTGAGGCCCCTGGGGTCCCTGAGACCCCCTGACCCCGTCTACAGCCTTCTCACCTGCCAACAGAGAAACAGGTTGTTATGGCAATTATGGTTTAAAAGGCTAATGGTTACTCAAGACGAAACATCGTTATGACATCATAAAGTGGCCAAAATCTGATCAGCTCATTTTCAGACAGGTTTTTATAGAAATGGATCAAAAAGAGAGAGAATCTTTGTTCCTGAAACTTTCAGAGTCTCTTTCCACAGAGGGGACACATGTTGATGTAGAAGAGACATGAAGAAGAGGGGACACATGTTGATGTAGAAGAGACATGGAGAAGAGGGGACCACATGTTGATGTAGAAGAGACATGAAGAAGAGGGGACACATGTTGATGTAGAAGAGACATGAAGAAGAGGGGACACATGTTGATGTAGAAGAGACATGAAGAAGAGGGGACACATGTTGATGTAGAAGAGACATGAGGAAGAGGGGACACATGTTGATGTAGAAGAGACATGAAGAAGAGGGGACACATGTTGATGTAGAAGAGACGTGAAGAAGAGGGGACACATGTTGATGTAGAAGAGACATGAAGAAGAGGGGACACATGTTGATGTAGAAGAGACATGAAGAAGAGGGGACACATGTTGATGTAGAAGAGACATGAAGAAGAGGGGACACATGTTGATGTAGAAGAGACATGAAGAAGAGTGGACACATGTTGATGTAGAAGAGACATGAAGAAGAGGGGACACATGTTGATGAAGAAGAGACATGGAGAAGAGGGGACACATGTTTGATGTAGAAGAGACATGAAGAAGAGGGGACACATGTTGATGTAGAAGAGACATGAAGAAGAGGGGACACATGTTGATGTAGAAGAGACATGAAGAAGAGGGGACACATGTTGATGTAGAAGAGACATGAAGAAGAGGGGACACATGTTGATGTAGAAGAGACATGAAGAATGTGGAGAAGGGGACACATGTTGATGTAGAAGAGACATGAAGAAGAGGGGACACATGTTGATGAGAAGAGACATGGAGAAGAGGGGACACATGTTGATGTAGAAGAGACATGAAGAAGAGGGGACACATGTTGATGTAAGAAGAGACATGAAGAAGAGGGGACACATGTTGATGTAGAAGAGACATTGAAGAAGAGGGGGACACATGTTGATGTAGAAGAGACATGAAGAAGAGGGGACACATGTTGATGTAGAAGAGACATGAAGAAGAGGGGACACATGTTGATGTAGAAGAGACATGAAGAAGAGGGGACACATGTTGATGTAGAAGAGACATGAAGAAGAGGGGACACATGTTGATGTAGAAGAGACATGAAGAAGAGTGGACACATGTTGATGTAGAAGAGACATGAAGAAGAGTGGACACATGTCGATGTAGAAGAGACATGAAGAAGAGGGGACACATGTTGATGTAGAAGAGAATGAAGAAGAGTTGAGTAGAAGAGAAAGAGGAGGACACATGTTGATGTAGAAGAGACATGAAGAAGAGAGGACACATGTTGATGTAGAAGAGACATGAAGAAGAGTGGACACATGTTGATGTAGAAGAGACATGAAGAAGAGGGGACACATGTTGATGTAGAAGAGACATGAAGAAGAGGGGACACATGTTGATGTAGAAGAGACATGAAGAAGAGTGGACACATGTTGATGTAGAAGAGACATGGAGAAGCGGATGTTGCACAATAAGCTTAATACAGTGTAGTGTAACTGTTAAGTGGTATCCTGGGAATGGCAAAGTATGTCTGATAACAGATGTGTTCACGAAGGATTGCATGACACTACAGGAAGGACAGGAGGTATGTGCAATATGTGCAATATATTTATATATGTATATATATATATATATATATTTATATAAATGCCGTTTAATAATGTGTAATATACCTGGCTGCTAAATCCTCAGAACTGTTACAGGAGGTTTATTTTGTTCAATTGTGTAATTGTTATCATTCTTTTATGTTGAATATGTTTTTGTATGCAGCTTCTTAGTTAACATGAAGCTGTCTTTGGCTCTTTGTGCTGTAACTATGTACATGTCCCCCTCTGTGGGACGAGTAAGGTATTCTTGATTCTGACGACCTTGTCTTATCTGAACACCTTGTCTCTATCTGAACACCTTGTCTCTATCTGAACACCTTGTCTCTATCTGAGACCTGGTTGTCTCTATCTGACAGACCTTGTCTCTATCTGAAGACCTTGTCTCTATCTGAAAGACCTTGTCTCTGACACCTTTGTCTCTATCTGAAGACCTTGTCTCTATCTGAAGACCTTGTCTCTATCTGAAGACCTTGTCTCTATCTGAACACCTTGTCTCTATCTGAACACCTTGTCTCTATCTGAACACCTTGTCTCTATCTGAACACCTTGTCTCTATCTGAACACCTTGTCTCTATCTGAAGGACCTTGTCTCTATCTGAAGACCTTGTCTCTATCTGAATGCCTTGTCCTATCTGAACACCTTGTCTCTATCTGAACACCTTGTCTGTATCTGAACACCTTTGTCTCTATCTGAAAACCTTGTCTGTATCTGAACACCTTGTCTCTATCTGAAGACCTGTCTCTATCTGAAGACCTTGTCTCTATCTGAAGCCCTTGTCTCTATCTGAACACCTTGTCTCTATCTGAACACCTTGTCTCTATCTGAACACCTTGTCTGTATCTGAACACCTTGTCTCTATCTGAAAACCTTGTCTGTATCTGAACACCTTGTCTCTATCTGAAGATCTTGTCTCTATCTGAAGACCTTGTCTCTATCTGAACACCTTGTCTCTATCTGAACACCTTGTCTCTATCTGAAGACCTTGTCTCTATCTGAAGACCTTGTCTCTATCTGAATGCCTTGTCTCTATCTGAAGACCTTGTCTCTATCTGAACACCTTGTCTCTATCTGAACACCTTGTCTCTATCTGAACACCTTGTCTCTATCTGAAGACCTTGTCTCTATCTGAAGACCTTGTCTCTATCTGAACACCTTGTCTCTATCTGAAGACCTTGTCTCTATCTGAACACCTTGTCTCTATCTGAACACCTTGTCTCTATCTTAACACCTGTCTCTATCTGAACACCCTTGTCTCTATCTGAACACCTTGTTCTCTATCTGAAGACCCTTGTCTCTATCTGAACACCTTGTCTCTATCTGAAAATCTTGTCTCTATCTGAAGACCTTGTCTCTATCTGAACACCTTGTCTCTATCTGAACACCTTGTCTCTATCTGAAGACCTTGTCTCTATCTGAAGACCTTGTCTCTATCTGAACACCTTGTCTCTATCTTAACACCTTGTCTCTATCTTAACACCTTGTCTCTATCTGAACACCTTGTCTCTATCTGAACACCTTGTCTCTATCTGAAGACCTTGTCTCTATCTGAAGACCTTGTCTCTATCTGAAGACCTTGTCTCTATCTGAAGACCTTGTCTCTATCTGAATGCCTTGTCTCTATCTGAACACCTTGTCTCTATCTGAACACCTTGTCTCTATCTGAAGACCTTGTCTCTATCTGAACACCTTGTCTCTATCTGAACACCTTGTCTCTATCTGAAGACCTTGTCTCTATCTGAACACCTTGTCTCTATCTGAACACCTTGTCTCTATCTGAAGACCTTGTCTCTATCTGAATGCCTTTGTCTTTATCTGAAGACCTTGTCTCTATCTGAACACCTTGTCTCTATCTGAACGCCTTGTCTCTATCTGAAGACCTTGTCTCTATCTTAACACCTTGTCTCTATCTGAAGACCTTGTCTCTATCTGAACACCTTGTCTCTATCTTAACACCTTGTCTCTATCTGAACACCTTGTCTCTATCTGAACACCTTGTCTCTATCTGAAGACCTTGTCTCTATCTGAACACCTTGTCTCTATCTGAAGACCTTGTCTCTATCTGAACACCTTGTCTCTATCTGAATACCCAACTGTTCTTTGTAGGGTGTGAGTCAGGTAAATGATGTCTGATGTCTCCCTATAAGAGAGTCTGTCACTCAGAAGGAGTCGTCATGCTTGCATTCAAAGAAATGATCTTAAAAGACTTGATATCGATATTATGTTTCTTTGCCTAACTCGTCCTTTTCTCTCGACAGCAGCTGATTCTAAGTTGCTTCGAGGTCATACACGGTAAGGGTCAGGCAGAAGGGAAGCATTGATCGACTGATAGACGAAACCTCTCAGTCCTGGTGGTCCGGCCTCTCCTGGTTCCCCATCGACCCCTGGACCCCCGAGGGCTCCTGGAGGGCCACCGTCCCCTCGGAGACCTGCATGTTGGATTTTATATATATTTTAATTCTTTATTGGGGTCACATTATATTAGAAGTACAGTTTTGCGAATCAATCTCTTTAGAGACCTGGAAACGGCAAATTAAATACGGAAACAGAATTAGTCAAATCAAATAAAAATAAAAAGTACATAGGGGTTTGTTTGAAATGACAAATATGTACACGTACACATGTATCTACTTAAGCATGCACACAGGGCCGGCCCTGACCAATTCTTGTTTATTAATAACAACTTTTTTTTTACTGTCATAAAGTATTTTATACTATAAGAGAATAGATGAAAAGCTATTCTCTTATTGTTTTATAAATGTAATGACCATATAAAGGTGTGCCTTTACCTCACTGAGCTGAGGTTATCAGAGCCTCTCAGTCTTTCAGGAGAGAGCTCTCTAAAGCCCCCCCCCCCCCCCCCCCCCCGCCGCGGCCGCTTACACAGTAAATTCCAATGTTAATAAAAGCTGTATACGTTTTTTGGGAGTTTGATTTATTTGAAATTCACACAAATACAAAATTAAAACCTATAATTGCACTAAAACCATTATTTAAAAAAAAGAACTATTTCACATAAACCTCTGGTTTTTACTGCGGCTGGGGCAGTTCAACTTGATTTGGGGGGGGGTGCGTCATAGTTTATGGGCGCTGTTCGCAATATAGGCGTAGTTCTGTTAGTATAAGATAATAAGATGTACTTTGTTGATCGAAAATCGGGAAATTGTGTTGTTGTGAAATTAAAAACATATATTTTTTGGAAATTAAAAAGTTGGCGCCCCCCATTGATTGATGCGCCCTTAGCATTCGCCTATACTGCCTATGCCAAGGGCCGGCCCTGCATGCACACATATAATAATCATAATAATAATAATTTGAAAGCGCTTTTCCTGGTGCTCAAAGACGCTTAAATATATATATATATATATACATATATACACACACATATATATATAACATGTTGGATTGTGAGGACACTTCATTGATCTTCGGTCACAGGTTGGATGGATTCAGTTTGGCCACGCCTCCTTGCCTGTGCTTCCTGGCTCCCCATTGGCCCCATAACTATTATCAGAATGATCTTAATTATCATAGTTTATATAAAAATAGGATGAGAAATGAAACTGTCTTGTTATCGGAACATGGACTTGTAGGAATGTATTTTTTGGTGTATGTACATATAGGATTGGTGTTTATCTGCGTGCGTATTTAATTACAGAATAATCTCTTTTCTCTTGATCCTGCAGCTGGATGAGGAACGGGAGCCTCCTCTGGATGAACTCTGCTCTCCTGCTTCTACTCATTGTGTTCGTTTTTCGGATGTATAAACTGTCTAATTGTTGAAATAGTAGAATAAATAATAATAATACAAAATACAATAAAATAAAACGTCAATGATTCTTTAGTCACAGGTTGGATGGATTCAGTTTGGCCACGCCTCCTTACCTGTGCTTCCTGGTCCCCTTGGCTCCACTCTGGCCTTTGATCCAACTTCCCCACTGACCCTGGCGCTCCATCAACCCTGGGGTCCCAAAAGGCCCCTCAGGCCCCGGGACCCCAACGCCAGATCGCCCAGGGTCCCCTTCAGTCCCTTTGGGCCGCGTCGTCGCAAGACAAGGGATAGAGAGGTTTGATTTGTTCATTTATAATTCTATACTTCTTTTTTTAAATGTATTTATAGATTTGTACATTCTTCACATTACACAAACACAAACCGAACATTCCCCAACATTAGTGATATGGAAGATTACTAAATAATGCTAAAAAATAAATAAAAAATAAATAATAAATAAAATAAATAACATAATAAAATAAATAAAATAAATAAAATAAATAAAATAAATAAAATAAATAAAATAAATAAAATAAATAAAATAATAAAATAAAATAAAATAAAAAGTGTGCAGTGACTCCCAGCTGCCCAGTGACTCCCAGCTGCCCAGTGACTCCCAGTGACTCCCAGTGACTCCCAGCTTCCCAGTGACTCCCAGCTGCCCAGTGACTCCCAGCTTCCCAGTGACTCCCACCTGCCCAGTGACTCCCAGCTGCCCGTGACTCCCAGTGACTCCCAGTGACTCCCAGTGACTCCCAGCTGCCCAGTGACTCCCAGCTGCCCGGTGACTCCCAGCTGCCCAGTGACTCCCAGTGACTCCCAGCTGCCCAGTGACTCCCAGTGACTCCCAGTTGCCCAGTGACTCCCAGCTGCCCAGTGACTCCCAGTGACTCCCAGTGACTCCCAGTTGCCCAGTGACTCATAGGTGACTCCAGGCAGTGTATCTGGTGTGTTTGGCACCACCCTCTGTTTAAATGTGGTACTGCACCAACGAGTCACATGGTGTTGCACCGTCCAGTGATTCCATCATTAAGCCAACTTCCACAAACACATCCATCAGTTTGCATCTTGATCACTATTTATCACATTCCATGTACTTGTACACAGACTCTTCTGGCACTATTTAATGTTATTTGTATTTACTTGCACATCTCAAAACATTCTCTTGCACTATTTGATCTGTTTTATTAGTTGGATGTGCTATAATCATGCTGCTCTGCCTGAGGAGGACTTGCGTTTCTCATCTCCATATCTCCTCTGAAGCTGCTGCATGGTGAGACCTGAGCCTGAATCACACACACGGCCTGTAAGCATGTCTTTGTTGTTTCAAGGTATATCTTAATTATTTGAGTAGTTTGAAAGTTTTATACACGTGTTTGTATAATGTTAAAATGCTAGCATTACGCCCTGAAGTTACATAGCACGTTCAGTACATGAGAAATGCATGTCAGTTGCATTTAGGACATTTAGGGCAGTGATTCTTGTACTGCTTGTGTGTAAAGATGTATCAAGCAAATAGCGATACGTCCACCTGAGTGAGTAGTTCAATGTATATTTCTGTTGGTTCTAGTTTTACTCCATGATACAGACCAAGGACACTTAACCAATAAAAACCCTCACGGACACCTGACTCCCCAAATATCCAGAAACAAAAGGCCTGCTACCACTCCAACAGTTTATAGCACATTCCAGCCTGATGATGACGACAGCTTAACTTCTCGACATCGCCTCGTCCACACATTAAATCAACAACTACAACTACCGAGTCTACATTTCCTTCCTATGAGATTGAAAGTGCTCAGATTTTACACCTCATATGAAATGTAGACTACATTTATCACAGAGTTCCCATTGTATCTCTAAAAGTACAATGGGAGCCAGAGCCTTTTCTTATCAAGCTCCACATTTGTGAATCAGCTTCCAGTTTGTGTTCGGGGCGGCAGACACCCTATCCGTTTTTAAGAGTGCGCTTAAGACCTTCCTTTTTGATAAAGCTTATAGTTAGGGCTGATTAGATTCCAGCCCCTAGTTTTGCTGATATAGGCTTAGTTTGTCGGGGGACATCTTACTTCTTCCTTCTCTCTGTCTATACCTGTGTACTCTCATGTTCCCATTAACCCAGCTTCCCCAAATGTCTTTCTTTTTGGTGTCTATATACGCCGGGATCCGGAGTCATGGATGATCCTGCTGTCCTCGGTGTCCTGGATCGCGAGCCCTGGATCTTGAGTCGTGGCTGTGGTCCTGGATCATAGGTCCTGGATGGATATCCTCGTGGATTCAGTCTTCCTATTATACACACATGCATTTCCAAACATTTGGACTACCTATGTTGCAAATGTATTATCTTTTCAATTTACACACGGCATCTATTGCACGTCTGTCCGTCCTGGGAGAGGGATCCCTCCTCTGTTGCTCTCCCTGAGGTTTCTCCCATGTTCCCTTTAAACTGTGGGTTTTCTCTGGAAGTGTTTCCTTGTACGATGTGAGGGTCTAAGGACAGAGGGTCTGAGGACAGAGGGTCTAGGACAGAGGTCAAGGATAGAGGGTCTAAGGAAGAGGGCTAAGGACAGAGGGTCTGAGGACAGAGGGTCTGAGGACAGAGGGTCTAAGGACAGAGGGTCTAAGGACAGAGGGTCTAAGGACAGAGGGTCTAAGGACAAGGGGTCTAAGGACAGAGGGGCCTGAGGACAGAGGGTCTAAGGACAGAGGGGCTGAGGACAGAGGGTCTAAGGACAGAGGGTCTGAGGACAGAGGGTCTGAAGGAACAGAGGGTCTGAAGGACAGAGGGTCTGAGGACAGAGGGTCTGAGGACAGAGGGTCTGAGGACAGAGGGTCTAAGGACAGAGGGTCTAAGGACAGAGGGTCTAAGGACAGAGGGGTCTAAGGACAGAGGTCTGAAGGACAGAGGGTCTGAGGGACAGAGGGTCTAAGGACAGAGGGTCTGAGGACAGAGGGTCTGAGGACAGAGGGTCTAAGCGAGGGATCTGAGGACAGAGGGTCTAAGGACAGAGGGTCTAAGGACAGAGGTCTGAGGACAGAGGGTCTAAGGACAGAGGGTCTAAGGACAGAGGGTCTGAGGACAGAGGGTCTAAGGACAGAGGGTCTAAGGACAGAGGGTCTGAGGACAGAGGGTCTAAGGACAGAGGGTCTAAGGACAGAGGGTCTAAGGACAGAGGGTCTAAGGACAGAGGGTCTAAGGACAGAGGGTCTAAGGACAGAGGGTCTAAGGACAGAGGGTCTAGGACAGAGGGTCTAAGGACAGAGGGTCTAAGGACAGAGGGTCTAGGACAGAGGGTCTGAACAGAGGTCTAAGGACAGAGGGTCTAAGGACAGAGTCTAAGGACAGAGGGTCTAAGACAGAGGGTCTGAGGACAGAGGGTCTAAGGACAGAGGGTCTAGGACAGAGGGTCTGAGGACAGAGGGTCTAAGGACAGAGGGTCTAAGGACAGAGGGTCTAAGGACAGAGGGTCTGAGGACAGAGGGTCTAAGGACAGAGGGTCTGAGGACAGAGGGTCTAAGGACAGAGGGTCTAAGGACAGAGGGTCTAAGGACAGAGGGTCTAAGGACAGAGGGTCTAAGGACAGAGGGTCTAAGGACAGAGGGTCTAAGGACAGAGGGTCTAAGGACAGAGGGTCTAAGACAGAGGGTCTGAGGACAGAGGGTCTAAGGACAGAGGGTCTGAGGACAGAGGGTCTGAGGACAGAGGGTCTAAGGACAGAGGGTCTAAGGACAGAGGGTCTAAGGACAGAGGGTCTAAGGACAGAGGGTCTGAGGACAGAGGGTCTAAGAAGAGGGTCTAAGGACAGAGGGTCTAAGGACAGAGGGTCTAAGGACAGAGGGTCTGAGGACAGAGGGTCTAACAAGGGTCTACAGAGGGTCTAAGACAGAGGGTCTAAGGACAGAGGGTCTAAGGACAGAGGGTCTAAGGACACAGGGTCTAAGGACAGAGGGTCTAAGGACAGAGGGTCTAAGACAGAGGGTCTAAGACAGAGGGTCTAAGGACACAGGGTCTAAGGACAGAGGGTCTAAGGACAGAGGGTCTAAGACAGAGGGTCTAAGACAGAGGGTCTGAGGACAGAGGGTCTAAGGACAGAGGGTCTGAGGACAGAGGGTCTAGGACAGAGGTCTAAGGACAGAGGGTCTAAGAACAGAGGGTCTGAGGACAGAGGGTCTAAGGACAGAGGGTCTGAGGACAGAGGGTCTGAGGACAGAGGGTCTAAGAACAGAGGGTCTAAGGACAGAGGGTCTGAGACAGAGGGTCTGAGGACAGAGGGTCTAGGACAGAGGGTCTAGGACAGAGGGTCTAAGGACAGAGGGTCTAAGGACAGAGGGTCAAGGACAGAGGGTCTGAGGACAGAGGGTCTAAGACAGAGGGTCTAAGGACAGAGGTCTAAGGACAGAGGGTCTAAGACAGAGGGTCTGAGGACAGAGGGTCTAAGGACAGAGGGTCTGAGGACAGAGGGTCCTAGGACAGAGGGTCTAAGGACAGGAAGGACAGAGGGTCTAAGGACAGAGGGTCTAAGGACAGAGGGTCTGAGGACAGAGGGTCAAGGACAGAGGGTCTAGACAGAGGGTCTAAGGACAGAGGGTCTAGGACAGAGGGTCGAAGGACAGAGGGTCTAACGAAGAGGGTCTAGGACAGAGGGTCTA